GCCATAAATTAAAAAAAAAAAAAAAAACGCATTTATTCATTGAAATCAATTGAAAAAAAAAAAAGAAACAACCTTTGAAGCTGTTATACACCCATAACACACCGCCAATATTGTGACCATTATATTTACTATTATATAAACATTCTTAAGAAGTCCTGTTAATTTATTTTTATTTTTTTAATTTTCCACAATAATAATATCATTTTTTCTTAATTTTTTTTAAAATAATAATAATATTAACAATAACAATAATATATATACATATATACATATATATATATATATATATATATATATATATATATATATATATATATATATTTTTTTTTCCCTTTTCTTTTGATTATAATATTTTTAAAATTTGAATTTCTTGGGTTTCTTTATGGGGTTTTAGCATTCAGGAATCTGCGTGTGGTCTCTCTTTGGATCATTGCAATAATCATACACCAAGTAATTCCTCTGCACCCTCTCCATCGCTCTGTATTGCTCTTGGTTCAGTCCCCCGGAGTCTGGCCTGCAAGACGCCGCCGCCGCCGCCGCCGTGCAACCGCTTATTTTGAAGTCCCGGTACTTGGCTACGAACGGCTGGTAGTGATAATCCACCTTGTATTTCCCATTCTCTGTCGCCCACGAGGAAGCATCCCATATCGAACCGTAAACCCACATTGGCCTTATTGGGAAAGTTGCGTCGTTCCTTCTTGTATACCTTCGAATCGGTACGTTGTCTACTAAAAATCTGTGGAAATGGAAGAACGCTGTAAATCAAGTGGTTAGAGGGGAAAACAAAAGCATGTATTCTATTGTGATTATACGGACATGATATCTGATGCAGACCACCGAATGGCGTAATGGTGGAAATCCTGTGTCGGGTCAAACCAGAGATGGAATCTCATTTCTCTTCCGACAATGTTTCCATCTCCACTTCCTCTGATGAACACGTTCGTTTGCAGTGTATACGGTTTCCCTGGCGTCGTTCCCAGGAATTCGAGGTCGATTTCATCGTGGTTTCCGGGGTAGTATTGGTTGTTCGAAAGCTAAATCAGAATAAAGTTAAAACACGGTTAGTCCAGAACTTGAATTGAGTGATTATGATTATCAATATCAGGGATGATTCCGTATTGTACTTACGTAGAATGATGTGAGAACTCCTGCAGTGTAGCCGGATTGGAGTTTTACAGCAACACCAAAGTAGCCGGATCGGTATGAGCGCAGTGATTTAAACCCGCTACCTGTTCGACGAAATGACGCACAGAGAAAAATCAGCCAAAATAGGAAATGGGGTAAGAGATTGTGAAAAACTATTCAGCTTTCTGCCACAACCATATGAATTTGAGGTGCTTTTATCATTTTTCTCTCGTACATCCAACGATTATTATGAGTCAATTACATTATGGCAGCCTACTTGAATAGATTTTATTCCGGAAAGTAGGAGATAAACGGTGGACCTGAGGTACTGTCGAGCCAAATGGTTAAGGAGCCTTGGTCATCAAACCTTTGATGCTGAGGACCCCAGAGGTTTGCAAAATACTGAGTAAAGCTGTTGGATTGAAGAGAGGAAGTGAGGTAGTAGCCAGAGGAGGGTGGACCCTGAGCTGTGGTACTACTAGAGGACATCACAAGAACAAAAACAAGGAGGAAAAGAGAAGCAGCCATGAAATTAGAGCAATAATTTGATGATAGCATGATGGGTAGAGGTGGGGCAGAGAGAATTGAAGAGAAATGGGGTGGGAATTTGGGAATAAATAGGGAAGTTTTTGAGATCATTTCAGACCCCACAATACACAATAAGTTAACACAGATTTGTGGGCTGATGTAAGATCTGGAGAATGAGATGGGAGGGGCATAATCTTCTCTTCTATTCAACAAGGCAAAAAAACCTGTCCCGTCTGATCTTTTCTTATCCAAATCTTATTTCTTTTCGTCTGTAGAATGAGTAAAGCTTGCAAGCTATGGCTGCTTCTCTCCATGATTGATGTCACAGAAAATGACCCAACTTGAGGCTTCATTGATGGCAATTAGAATTGGTTTCTGGCTTTAATTTTCTTTATTATGACTAATGATTTTGCATATACATACTAATTTCGCTTACTAAACCTCTTCCTGCGCAGCTTGTGGCTATCATGCATCTGTTTTGATGTTTTAATGATCGTTGGATCTAAATGTAGTAGTCCAAGACCACCGCTAGTAAATATTATTCTTCAAACGCGTCTGCTAGGGAGAGGTTTCCACACCTCTATAAGAAATGTTTAATTCCCTCCTCCAATCACGTGAGATCTCACAATCCACCCACTTAGACTAGCATCCTCGCTAGCATACCACCCTATGTCTGGCACTTCTCTAGTACCATTTGTAACAACCCAGCCCACTACTAATAGATACATTTGTAACAGCCCAAGCCCATTGCTAATAGATACGTTTGTAACAGCCCAAGCCCACTGCTAACAGATATTGTCCTTTTTAAATTTTACCTTTCGTGCTTCCTCTCAAGATTTTTAAAACGCCTCTGCTAGAGGAGGTTTCTATACTCTTATAAAAAATGTTTCGTTCACTTTTCCAACCGATGTGGAATTTCACACTAAAAGATTTACCTTTGTTTGCTTTGACAGAATGTTGGGCATTAGGCAATTTGAATCTCAAACTTACTAGAAGAAGGTATTAGTATATTATTTCAATTTCTTGTTGCCTTTTTAATTGCAAAAAATAAGTAATTCTTTGTTTCAACATATGAATAGTTACGGAATGTTCATATTTCTCAAAAATCGGAAACAAGTAAGCAATAAGAACGCAAAACATGAAACGACCTCTTAGATATCACAAAAAGACAAGAATGATTTGGTTAAAGTGAAATTTTATCACACACATTGGGATTATAAATTAGATTGTTTAGATAAATTGGAAAGAAGTTAAACATTTAATAATTGTGTGATTGGTAGTTTGTCTTTTCTTGGCTTTGGGTACTATTGTTGTTTGAAATCATTAATTGGATGACAAAGCATTCAAAATCATAACAAGAATGCATAGTAACAAAAAAAAAAAGAATTTGAAGTCAAGCTATCACAGTTTAACTTTTCTTTAGTTTATGAACCATACACGTTCATTTCAATTATAGCTATAGTTCATATCTTGCAGATCGTGGGTGGAGACTGTAAATTTTTTTTTGTAGGTAAATTAATGCCTCGAAGGGTAAAGAATCATCGAATGTCCTAGAAGATTAGTTAGTACAAGCCATACTTGATGCAAGATAGAATCCAGAAATATATGATATGGAGCGTAAAAGGATAAGAATTAAGGAAGACTAAGAAATGTGAACGCGATGTTATTAAAATTTTGTTTTTGGAGCCGAATATTATAGTGATAATGAAGTTTTTGTCTTTATTAAAAAAAAGATTAATAATAATAAAAGGTGAAAGCCACAAAAGGAGGACTGTGTCTTCTAAAGGATAGAAAATAATTGTTTGAGGAAGAGGGGAAGGACGTTGCAATCTACCGACAGTTTGATATCTTAGAAGAAACCAGAGTGTTTGAAATGTGGCTGTGGAATTTTTTAATAACTTGTCAGGTTTCCTTTCCATTTTATGACGTCTTTTCAGCTCATTTCATCTTTAATTTGCCCAAAAATTTGAAATTCAATGACGTTTTCAATCCCCATCCATCTAAATGCCTATATCTTGAACGAGATATGCATCCATCAAAACTATAACTCGAACACTGCTTTCTTCTCATAATGCTAGTGTTTCGAACCTAAACTTGCATCAAACATGAGTAAAACTTAGTGGTGATTGATATATACTTACCGGAGTTGCCTTTTATAGCCTTGTTCAGCAGGTATGTTGCAAGGCAAGTCGTACTTATAGGGCGCTATACAGAAGTTAGTGCCTGCTTATCCCGGCTACTATTGAACAACGATCCAACTGTTCCATTCCCAAGAAAGCTATCTTGTCATGTGTCATGTCCCAAAGGAAAGAAATAGAATCTACTTCATTCTTCCTTTCTAGTTAAAATCCTCTCCACTGCACAAAAAATCATATCAAATAACAAAGTCTAAATGATAGCAAAAATACAAACAGTTGAAGAAAGGGATAGGATTAGGTAGTTTTTGAGGTGCCCACATCACATCTCTTTTGCTTCTTGGAGCTATGCATGTTTTGTCCATTACCAACAGCAGATGATACCTTGGTTAGCCTGCAAGCAAAATTAAGCAGTCAATTCACTAAAAATATATAGAGCCACTAGGCAATCATAACTTGGCCAGCCAAAAACAAGACAAAAAAATCCAACGGACAGGTGAAATTTCAAGTCTCTTTCAAGTAACTTTTGTAATTTCAACCGAACTTTTATTGCTTATAGAACTCGTAAAAAACATCAGCTTCATGAGTATGTACTCGAGGAATATCTAGTAAGTTTTGAAGTTAAACTGTCTCAGACGTCAGAACAAGAAGAAGCTGAAGGGACAATTTCACCCATGCATTTAGCTCAATTATGTAAGAACATCTGACAGAGAGAATGGAGATTGGATGGAAAGAAAAAATTTAAGGCCTTTCGGACTGGTTTAGGACAGCTTTGAGTTAGATGCTTTTTCTTGTTTGGATGCTTAAAATGACAAGCCCATGGTGCAGCTCCATGAAGCTCAAACGGGTGAAGACCATGTCATACTAGCTCTTGTTCTGTGGAAGAAGCAAAGACATTGGATGTTTACAATCAAACATGTAGAAGACACTAGAATATTTCCAAGCCCAAGCTCACCACCAGCGGATATTGTACTCTTTGAGCTTTTCCTTTCAGGCATCCCTTCAAGGTTTTTAAAACGCGTCTACTAGGAAGAGGTTTCTACACCCTTAAAAAAATATTTTGTTCCCCTCTCCAACCGACGTGGGATCCCACATCAACTCTAAGTCTTTCCATATCAAGTTATTATGGTTTCCACATTAAAATATGAAATCCCAAAACCACTTCAATAAATCTTATTTCTACTCACAAGGAACCAACTCCCTTCACTCCCGTCCTTCCCTCCCTCAGAACTTGATAGGGGATGAGATTCATTCACTTGCATTACTGCTAGCACTACAATAAGCTTCGGTCTTAATGCCTTGACTACTACTGTGCAGCCTTTCCTCGGGTTCATAGAGTCGGGTTTTCCATTTACCCAGAACGGAGGAGCTGCCCCCACCAGGTAGGTGGCCACAGGTCATAACGCACTCTTCGCACAACAAATCCACTTCGAATGAACCTTCGTGACCCTCAAAATAATTATACTAACAAAAAACAAGTAAACTTAGCTAAATGATTATGGAGCTATATATCTGCCTGCCTAAACATCCACCCATACCCGAGAAGGTAGTCCTTCAAGAAAAAGAAAAGCATGTAGAAACCCACATAATAAGAAGAACTAACGACAAAGGGAGGAAAATTAACAGCAGCCTCTTACCCATACAATTCCCTCAATCTCAGAATTGCTGGTTGAAAACCTGAACTCAGAGGAACAAGTTGCACAACTCTCGAGTGTTGTGCATTGCCATTCTTTGGTTTAGAGATCGTCATTCTAAACATCTCTCCCTCCAGAATTTCACTTACAGCTTCAGCTGCATCACGAAATGAAAATTCCACCAGCAATCAGATCACTAGAAAACAGAACAGCTTGGATGAACGAAGATTAAGCCAGATTTTATGGAAAACAATCGAAAATTTTCCCACAAATTGTATTTGTAACGTAATCTTCAAACAACTTCTGATGATCATTAAGGACTCTGCCTCTAGGTTGTTTAATGAAATGCGTGTCGTTCTAAATCGTTTATGTCCATTCAAAGAGAATCTCATGCAAACCAATGAGAAGTAACTCACAAATACAAAGGGAATTTACCAGCAAAGGGATGTAGCTTAGCAAAGTCGAAAAACTCATCAGCAGAGCAACCAAACAGAACCCTAGCAACCCTATCAAAGCATATAACAGTTTGTACTTTCTTATCCGTAGCAATTGACATCTGCCAAAAACAATGGAAATATAGGAACCCTAATCAGAGCCACAATATAAAGAATGCAATGCAATGCACAAGCTCAAACCCAATGGCATTTCCCACTCAAATTACAAGTGGAATTCCAACGACAAGAACATCGTATGAAGTTTCCACACATTCTAAAAATAAATTCTCAAGTAAAAACACGGAGATACTCACAAGTATACGAAAGACACGCTTGGAGGAGGAGGAACCGGGATTGAAAGCGTTGAAGTTGCAGAATTTGCATAGAGAAAAAGGAGGGTTACTAGGGAGTGTCCTCTCACAGATTGAACAAACTCTGTAGCAGAAACTGGTGTGATCCATGGCTATCACTGCGCACATTGTTGTTATTGGCTTATCGTTTTCCATTACTCCTCTGATGGAGGTTGCCTCCCTTCCTGGAAAAGGAAAAGACGCGGCGCTCCGCCGCTATATGGGCAGGTTTTTCAATAAATTTTAAAGCTCAAAATCTCATTTAACTTTGGGCCTAAAATTGGGCCTTGAAGTTTTCCATAATCTTTCAAGTCATCTGGTTTGGCCCAGTCTCCGGCTGGGCCTGTAGTCAACAAACGGCCCACTGATACTATGGTGGCTTCATCGCCGGGAACAGAGGCGATGAAAAACCCAACGAATATAGGAGACCTGGAATGCACGGGTCTGCAGCCTCGGTCTTCAAACAACGAATTAAGAAGCTCCATCAATTTGGTACGTTCCTTCTCTTGATTGGGCAAAACTCTATGCTTGTCTGTCAAAATCTTAATTTTATATGCATTAATCTTCCACAATTTTCCGTTTATTCCTTACTAGAACTTGAGTTGAGTGTGTGATCTTGTCTCTTCCCTTCCGGAAAGAAGAAATTAGTTCAAAGATAATCGCCGATGCTTTCAATCTGGTTTCTATCTATGGAAAGGGTTTTAGCCGATTGGATTTGCTTCTAGGAATATGAATCTCGACTTTATTTTGTCTAGACTATGTATGTTTATGCAAGAACTCATTAGAAGTAGTTCAGCATTTTTGTTCAGTTCAGGTGTTACCTACTTTATATTTATGTAATGAAGTCATTTCCATAGGTATCTCTCAATCTAAATCCCGGCCAACACAAAAGAAAATCTGAATTCTGCATTGCAGCAAATACGTTCTGAGGAAAGGTTCTTGCTATGGAGACCGACAGGTACAGTAGTTTTGGCTTTCCTATTTGTTTACTATTTTGTATTGGAAGCCATAATCTTAAGTAATTTATGGCATCTGCTCATATCTTGAAAATAAGCTATGCATGTCAATTTTTATTCTTACCACCTAATGTATTATTCAATTTTGTATTATCAGGTTGAATTCTCCCAGTACATTTACCATGACCATGGAAGTATTGGGTCATGAGTTGCGATTCTATCAGGTATTGCCTGTAACGTTATTTTAAATTTTCATGCGGAGCATACTTACAGATTTGAAATTATCACTTGGCAATCTATCATATCCATGGTACTTCAGGAACATGTCTATAATAGCTCATTTGTGTAATAAGTACTCATCCACCGTAGAATCCTTTACCCCTTGAGATTTCAGAGAGACATTTGTGTAGTCCTTGCTAATCTTTGTTCCACTTTCATATATGTAATAACATATCTGACTATGGAAGTATGTTACATTGTGGTGTTATAGGATCCCAATTCGAAACATTTAGGAACAACAGTGTGGGATGCATCACTGGTGTTCGTCAAGTTTCTGGTAATCGCCGTTCTACCTTTACATTCTTGTTGATCATTGGATTTTCCATTTTTCTTACAGTCTTTGGATTTATCAGTATTATCTTGCTTACGAAGGGATAATTTAGTTGTTTGTACAAAAGTTTTCAATTTTGTTACTCTGTTAATAGTATATGATGCCACTAGTTGAATGGAACATATTTAGAGCGTTCTTTCTGTTTGAGAAAATGAAAGCATCGTATGACATTTACTTTGATTGCTGCATGTTGGTTTAAAACCAGAGTTTGAGTTCTCTTTGACCAAGATGCAAATACTAAGAGGTGAAAGCCTTGCAACTATTAGATTTTTATGAACTCCTCATTCATCTGTGAACATATAATGTGAAATGTCATTCAATACAACTATTTTATCGAAGGTATTTTACTGTAACCCTTCATGACACATCCCTTATTGTGTTAGATCTATTTTTTCATGGGTCACATGATATGTATCTTAATTAGATCTGTAAGATTATCGTTCTTTAAAAACATTTAAGTTCTTCTTTCACTGTTTCAGGAGAGGAATTGTCGAAAAGGAAAATTTAGCCCTTCTAAACTTAAGGGAAAGCGTGTTGTCGAACTTGGCGCTGGTTGTGGGCTAGCTGGGTTTGGTGAGTCTTTGATGTAAAGTTTAATATGGAACAATGCCTTATTAAACTTCTCTTTGTAGGCATGGCATTGCTTGGATGTGATGTAGTTGCTACAGACCAAAAGGAGGTTTTGCCTATACTATCAAGAAATATCGAGCGTAATACACCAAGCTTAGCACAGATGAATCCCTCAGGTAGGCTTTGAAAAATTAGAAATTACGAACTTCCTTGTAACAATCATTAACATTCTAATGGTGGCAATTCAGTTAGAAAAATCAGTTTGTTTGAAGTTTGTTTTAGGGCTTTAATTTAATTCTGGTTTAATTTAATCTTACAAGCATGATAGTATTTGTAATTGATCGTATTATGGAGAGCCTTTGATTTTCTTAGGTTTTTCTAATTAGGGAAACTTGTTCGTTGTAGATTCATTTGGTTCAATTAGGGCAGCAGAATTAGACTGGGGGAATGAAGATCATATCAAGGCTGTAGGCCCACCCTTTGACTTTATTATTGGCACTGACGTGGTAAGTTTATAAGATTATTTCTGGTTGAAGCATACAATGGTACATTATTCAATAGCATGGTTTTCTCATATGATTTACAAAGCAAATAAGCGACCACAAAAGTTGTAATTTTTATCATTCAACGTGAAGGTTTATGCAGAACATCTCTTGGAACCACTTTTAAAGACAATACATGCTTTATCAGGTCCCAAAACTACAATTATGGTATGAAATATCACTTTTATCCACATTTTCACATTGGAGATTATGCTTTGCTCATTTATTCATACTTGTTATGTGAAGTTGGGGTATGAGATTCGCTCAACAAATGTTCATGAGCAAATGCTGGAGATGTGGAAAAAGAACTTCGAGGTGAAAACTGTATCAAAATCAAAGGTACGATTTACTTTCAACATTTCTAGAATCTCTGAAATGGCCATAGATTAAGATGTTTATCCTTGTACAGTTTTGTAGCATTGACAATAGAGATGACCCTGCCAGTCCTCGGCCAAATACGTTAACCGTGTTACATTATTTATCTTGCTGTTTGTTGCAGATGGACTCCCAGTACCAGCATCCCAGCATTCAGCTTTACATTATGGGGATGAAATCTGCAGCAGAGAACGCAGAGAACACTCAAGACAACGTCGATCAGGAAATTGACAGAGTTTGTTCGAGCCAGGAGAATGACGAAAAGGATGTAAGTTGCGATGGAACGGGAATCCAGAAGGTGGAGGAGCCAGTTTCGGAACGCGAGGATCAGAAACTGGGTGACTGGGAAGCTAGAAGAATAGGCTCTATGGCTGCTCGGCTTCTGCAAGATGTAAAAATTACTTGACCCTTTCTTTCGGAGATATCTTTTGCAGTGTTCATATTTGAACCAATAGGTTAAATTCATAATAATATTATACCTTACGCTGGTGACAATGTTTGTTTATGAAATAGTTGACGGCTTGCCTTCATTTTTAAGTTCAGTGCCACAAATCTTCGCAAAAGCAGGTGTGTACATACTCAAATCATTACAAGTATGAGCTAGAATGAGAAGAAGAGCATTATCATACAGCAGAAATCTGAGAATTATTCAAGGTAATCTGACGACGAATGTTACTGCCATTGATGCCTGCTCCCAATGTCTTATCAAGATGACTACTCAAGTGAGAGAAGTTATCCACATGAATCCCCAAATAAGAAACGAGGGGATCAGCCCTTGATTTCTCAATAACAAGTCTCAAGAATTGAGATTCCACGGTTGGAAATTTCAGTATTCTCCGGTAACCCACTGTGGAGCCTCTCACCACTGTTCTCCAAACACCCTCATCATTCAGAACATCAAAATGGAACTCAACAATCCTCTGTCCCATGTGAATCGGCTCTTGAATATGCAGCACATTGAAAGATATGAACTCTTGAAGGTTCAGATACAGAGACCAAGTGGGTTGATGATTCTGAGCAGGAGCCCAGTAAGTGTAGATACCTTCTTTGAGGACGTTCGAGGGGATGAAGCGGTCATCTTCGCCATTTCCTCGCGTGCTGCTCGCGTCGACAAGAGCGTTTTCTGCCAAATTGTGGGAGAAAATGGAGTCTCGGATCTTGGTGAATTCTTGCAGCACTTGTATATCTTCAGCTGAAATTAAACCTGAGGAATTTGGAGGTACATTTAGCAGCAAGAGGCAGTTCCTGCCCGCTGATTTGTAATATATGTCGAGAAGAGTTCTTGCAGACTTTGGAACTTCTAATGGATGCCAGAACCAACCAGGCCTTATTGAGACATCACACTCAGCTGGAACCCAATCGTGGCCAAATGGGTCACCTTCTCCAGAGTATCTGAATACAATAGAGGTTGGAATAAACAGCAAGCAGAGATACAGAAGCCATTAACATTGAGAGGTGAACTCACCGGGAATCAGTGCCGCCGATCTTTGCAGCACTGCAGTTAAAAAGAGACCAGCAAGTAGGCTTGGCGACACCAGCTTCGTCGCCAATCCACCGGCAGTCGGGACCGGCGTCGGAGAAAATGACAGCCCCCGGTTGGAGCTGATGAATTAAACTAAACCATGAATCGAAGAAATATTCCATGTCCTTCTCATCCTTTCCCTTTGCACCATCCAACCACACCTCCTTGATCTCTCCATACCTAAAAGATTAAATCAGCATCAAAACATTATCCAATTGACTCAATTAGCGAAACAAGCAAATTGTTAAAAGACAAGGAACCAAGAACCAGTGCCTGGTAAGCAATTCAGTCATTTGGCCAACATAGAACTCATTATATTCCAGAGTATTGCCATAACAGGGCTCGTGACGATCCCACGGCGACAGATAGAGTCCCAATCCAAGTCCTGCTTCTTTTGCAGCCTTGGCCAGTTCCCCAACCACATCTCCTTCGCCATTTCTCCAAGGACTCGACCGTACCGAGTAATTTGTATACTCCGATGGCCACAAGCAGAACCCATCATGGTGCTTGGCAGTTAGAATCAAACGGGAAAACCCAGCGTCCTTGGCGACTCGGACCCATTGAGCAGCATCGAGGTTGGTGGGGTTGAAGACCGATGGGTCAACGTGGCCAGTTCCCCATTCGGAATCGGTGAAGGTGTTGGGGCCAAAGTGAAGGAAAAGGGCCATGTTTCCGAGTTGCCATTGGATCTGAGAAGCGGAAGGGATGGGAAGAATGGGAAGCGGAGGGGGAGAGCTAATCGAAGAAGAAGAAGAAGAAATGGGTTGGAGTAACAGAGAGAGGAGGAAGACAATGGAAATTTGGGTTTGAGAAATGGAATTGATAGCTGAAGAAGGCTTAGGGATATTATTGCAATAGCCGAAGAACCTGATCGCCGGCTTCTTCTTCATTGGCAGTGAAGATAATCAGAATTTGTTTCAGTCGGAGCTTTTAAGCAATCCTCCTTTTCGTCTTCACTGTTCAACCTCAACGACTTCACAAATCATGGAATCAATAAAATCCGTACGTAATTATTCAAAACATATATAATAACCAAGAAAAGAAGAGAAAAAAAAAAAAAAAATGGAAAGCCCATGATGAAGCTTGTCCCATGTGGGGCCCACCAAAGTCCAGTGGAGAAGCCCAATGGGCCTTTTTATGTTTCAGACGTGCTGGTACTGTCAGTACTTTAATGGGCCAGCCAAGACGGCTTACTTGTTTATAAGCCCAAATGGCCACCGACTAACCACAGAATGTTCTGGGCCGTATGGAAGCCTGTCCCATGTGGGGTCCACCGAAGTCCAATGGAGAAGCCCAATGGGCCTTTTTACTTGAAGGTCAGTGAATAAGCCCAATGGGCCTTTTATATTTTCTTGTTCTGTTTCTGTTAATACTTTAATGGGCCAGCCCAATACTTGACTTGGTCTGTGGGCTTATAAACAAATAACCATAGAAGATTCTGGGCCGTATGGAAGCCTATCCATGTGGGTCCAGTGGAGAAGCCCAATGGGCCTTTTTTAAGGTTTTAGACTCGCGCTGGTTCTGCCAATACTTTAATGGGCCAGCCCAAGACTCAACTCATTTGTTTATAAGCCCAAACGGCCACCAATGAACATGAAAGGTTCAGGGCAGTAAGTCTCACGCGTCTCACACTAAATTAATTGAACCACACATGACGCACTAACCAAGTAAACGCTACTTCATTTAATTCTTTTTTAATAGAAAAAAAAAATCATATTCCTTTAATTTTTTAATCTTACCAATCCTACATGACATGTCCATCTTCCTTAATTTTCATCTAAAATAATTAATTTTATAAATAAAACTATTAAATATTAAAATAATTACACTCCACGTAATGTACAGCAAGTCAATTGACTATGCTTTTCAAGTCTTTGTAATTTACATTTTGACCCTTATATTTCACCTTATTTTATTATCCAACTATCACAATCGACCATCGTACTTTAAAGCCCAAGTGAAAGTGGTGGAAGGAAGCAGCCACCGCGTCCGCCGTCATCACCGCTATAAATACTCAGCCCACTTCAGAAACCATCTCTGCAAATTCAACCAATTCCATTCCTAATCCGAGCAATGGGCAAGGTCAGTGGTCACTCCATTCTTCTTCCTCCTGTTCTAATCCATTTCCCTTACTTTCTCTCTGTTTACAGAAGCAGAACGGCAGCCATGGAAGCGACAAAGAAGAAGACAGTACCACCGCCGTGTTCAACATCGATATGCACTGCGAGGGCTGCGCCAACAAACTCAGAAGGTGTGTCCGACAAATCCAAGGTATCATCGATTCCCGATTCCCCTTTTTTCTTCTCAATATTATAAAGCAGATTCCAAACCCAATCCGATTTTTCCATTTACTTAAGGCGTTGAGAGAGTCAGAGCCGATTGGGAAGCCAACAAGCTAACAGTGATCGGAAAATTCGACGCGTCGACGCTCCGAGAGAAGCTCGCCGATAAAACTAATAAGAAAATCGACATTGTCTCGTCGGAGGGCAAGAAGGAAAAGAAATCGAAGAAACCGGATGAAGAAGCAGAGGACGAGAAGCCCAAAGACAAAGAGGTGAGTGAATACGGCTCGTTGTTAGAGTAAATGGGGTGAGTCAACTCGGATTTTTAAATTTATTTGACTGATTATTTGTTATTTTAAAATTATTCCGACCAGATTCCGGTGACGACGGCGACGTTGAAGGTGGAACTGCATTGCCAGGGTTGCGTCGAGAGGATTTACAAAGTCGTATCCAGGACCAAGGGTGAGATTTAATTATTGCTCATCAAATTAATTTTGGAGTTGAAATGAACAATTAATGGGTTTTTTTTTTTTTTTTTTTTTTTTTTTTTTTTTTTTTTTTTT